TAAGCTCCTCTGAGCTAAGGCACATATTTATACAGCCCTACAGAAAAGGCAGGGTGGAACACGCTAATATATACACATTAAAGAGACTGAATAAATAAACAGTAGGTTCTGATTTATTTTCTCTGCTACTTGGATATCTTAGTTTTGGCACAAGATAGATTTCATACACAAATCTGATCCCCAGATAGGGTTTTGTCCTGCCTGATTTAGAAAACATGTGCAAAGGAGAAAAACTTCACAAATGTTCTTAAAGCATAATGATATTTATGCTGTTTATTGCCAAAGCACATAAAATCCTTGGCCCCTTTCAGCTAGGTAATATACAACAGGTAACAATGCTGATCTCTGCCCTGGAGTATTTACAGTTACAGATGAGAGATAACAGTGGGTACAGTCAGACTGGGAAAGCACATAAAATGTGATTAGTCAGTCTGAGACTCACTAAATGCTGTACACTTATTAAGCATTGTTTATCTTATTTGTGCCTCACCTGGGAGAGAGCGCAGGGTTGGTGGGGCAAAACCAGACACGGAAAACAGCAAACGCCCTCGACACTGGGGAAAAGGTGATGAGAGGGAGCAATTGAGAAATGTCACGTGTGAGAAATGTTCTGGTCACAGAAAGTTGTGAAGGACTTTTAAGTTTTATTATTAAGTGTGACTTGTACCCAGTTAAGGTTTCAGGTGGAATATAGGTAACTACACAATCAAAATCATAATGGGAAGCCCATTAAGAAAGGCTGCAGGACTTACCACGCCTCCTGTCCTCAAGCCCCAAACTGCTTACCTCCTCCCACTGAGCAAAGTCTGGAGGAACTACACTGTCTGTGAATGGCCATAACATTTCCAGAAGCACTGACAATGCTGGATTGTATTCTCTGGCTCATTTCCTCCTGCTAACCAATCCCTCTAGGGTGAACAGAATGGAGAAAATTGTTGTTTTTCTTGTAATTTCTCTTGTAATTTATTTTATTTTTTCTACCAGGTTAAACACCTGATGTTTTAAAAGCACCGAATGCTGTGATTTCTAGGTGTACACATAGAAATAACTTGTGATGTCCTGTGAGCTGTCCCTTCCCTAGGGAAGCTGCAGCCAGGAATGCTGCAGGAGAGCTGAGGTTGCCAGGCACTTCCAGCAGTACAAACCAGAGTGATGCCAAGAGAGCTGGAAAGCAGGGAGTGTGCCAACCACAAAATTAATCTCTGAGTTAATAAAAGCCTGCATGGTTTGAGGTTTGTGAAGCAATAAATGAGTTCAAATTTGCCAGCGACTGAAGAAGAAAAGCAATTAGGTGTTAAGGGAAACCTTCTAATGGGTATAAAGATAATACATTAGAATATACAATGTGTTGAAAAACGTGATGAGAAATTAATCTTTAATTGAAAATTACTAAAGGAATTTTGATGAAGAACGTGGAAATATATATATCAAAGCAAACCTTTTAACTCTTAATACTAAAAGGGAATGATAGAGTAAGAGCTTCTGTTTAATAGCACTAATAATTTCATAGTATTTTTCCTCTTGAGTCATATGATAGGCTCTTTTTACCACTCAGTACTTCATCCAAAAAAAAAAAAATAAACTCCTTGGCTTCTTCGCATCGTAGTTTCTAAGTCTGTATGACCTAGAAAGGTATTTCTACTAATGTGTTTTACCTCTGTTTTTCCAACACCCAGGCAGAAGGGTACCCATTTCAATCTCCTCACATTCCTATGACTCTACTGGGGACACTGCTAGCAAGTTTGCAAGGCTAAAAGAGGTTATGTGAAAAAGTGAGCCTGAGGAAATACCTCAGTGTGATCCAAATGGAACCTGGGAGAGTCCTTAATCAGTGTGTTGTTTGGTAACTTGAATGTGCACAATTTCAGTGGCTTCAAAGGAGGCTTTTCTAGTTTTAAAAGAAAACATCTTGCTCAAAAGGGAAGAATAGGCAATAATAAAGACATATATAAATGGGAATTTTGCAGACTGATAGCAATGGGTAGTTTGGCAGTTTGCAAAAGGGGTAACTAGCTAGGGAAATTCAATGAAAATATATTGGCCAGTACCACTGATCACCAGTGGCATTTCCTTGAGGCACAAATTAAATCTTAGTAGTGATTTAGGTTGGATATTGGACATTAAAATTTTAAATTAATTGAAAAAAAACCCTGAAATTATTAATTAATTTTCCTGTTCTTTGTTTAAAAAATTGACGTTAGTGTCACTGCATTGGAGGTATTTCACATGGCCTTTCAAATGTAACCAGAGTGAATGAAAACCACTGCTTTATACCCATCTTTAAAACTGTCACGCAAAAGTATTTTAAGAATTGCCTGAGAACATCACCAAACTCTTAGTACTGATTTTTTTACAGTAAATACTGTACCACTGAATTTCCAGAGAATCAGGGGAAGTAACTGTTGAGTCATTACATAAAACCCAGTAACTGGTGTGGCCCGGGTAAGCAGGGACAGACACTTGGCCAGGCTGACACCAGCCTTGACAAGAGTGGTGAGGTGTGCAGTCAACAGAGAATTAAACTGTGACACCAGAGTTAGCACACTAACAGAAAATAGATGTTTTTAAGGTTTTTTCAGGTAGAGGAAGGCGTCCATCTGATTTGAGTCAGAGCAGCTCAGTGCTATGTGTGGGTGGCAGTTTTCTCATTTTGTTTTCCTCTCATTCCCTTAAACAGTGGTCACATAAGTAAATCAACTCACCAGGCCAACAAAAAACTATGTCTTTTCTTTCTACCACTGTCAGAATTTCCTGCTGGATTCCCATGCTGGGCTGACTCACCCCAGAGCTGTGGGGTCACTGGAGCTGTCACAGGAAGCCCAGAGTGGTGCTGGGGTGATGTGCTGTTCTGCCAGATGGATGTAACCCCTGTTCAGTCACTGCTGGGGTTGCATGCAATGAGATGTAACAATCAATGGCTCCCTTCATCTGCAGTGGAGAAGAACTACTGGAAAAAGTAGTATGTGAAAATAAATATAGATCCTATTGTGGCTTACAAATCCTCCAAATGGTTTGCAGTGCTCTTCAAAACTGAGCAGTTGACAGAAGCAGGAAAGGGTTATTAAAAGCAGGTGTAGACAGGACAATAGGAAACATCTCCTGTCACTTCTGTCAGGTGGAGAGGAAGAGCTGAGTGACCCACTGTGGGGCTGGGGTTGTGTCCAGCACCTGAGCTGGGGTCTGCGATGGAGCCCTCAGCAGAGCCCCAGGGCACTCGTGCCTTACAGGGATTGCCCTGAGGTGATCCCCAGCCTCTCTCACCTCTGCCTAACTTACCCAGTGGTCACACTGAGATGTGCAGGGCTGCTGATCTGGCGCCTTGCCTGCCTGGCAATGTTCACCAGGGCTGGATGGAGCCAAATCCCCCACAAAGCTCTTGGCCCGGTGTTGTTCCCCATCCTGTGACAATGGAGGACTGGAGGTAACACTGGACCTGACTCCACAGAGATGTCTGCTGTGTAGCTTTTAGGGGCAACACCCGGCCTCCAGTGCCTGCAGGACACCCCACGGCCAGCACACGAGGCCTGGGGACCCCGGCTCCCACCCTGAGGTGGGGTCCTGCAGCCCAACACCCACTGCCAGCCCTGTCCCAAGGGGACCCCTTGTCCTGCCCCACAGAGCCCCGCATAGCCATGTCCCCACACAGCCATGTACCCCATATCCGTGTCTCCCCACATCCATGTCCCCGCCACAGATGAATGCCCCATATCCACCTCCCCACATCCACATCTTCCACAGCCATGTCCCCTATCCATGTCCCCCATCCATATCCCCACATCCATGTCCCCCACATCCATATCCCCCCATCCATATCCCCACATCCATGCTCCCCATAGCCATGTCCCCCATCCATATCCCCCCATCCATGTCCCCCATCCATATCCCCACATCCATGTTCCCCATCCATATCTCCACATCCATGTCCACCATCCATATCCCCCCATCCATGTCCCCCACATCCATATCCCCCCATCCATATCCCCCCATCCATGCTCCCCATAGCCATGTCCCACATCCATATCCCCACATCCATGTCCCCCATCCATGTCCCCCCATCCATGTCCCCCATACATATCCCCAATGCCATGTCTCACAGCCATGTCCACTATCCATGTCCCCCATCCATGTCCCCCATCCATGTCCCCCCATCCATGTCCCCACATCCATATCCCCACATCCATGTCCCCCATCCATGTCCCCCATCCATATCCCCACATCCATGTCCCCCATCCATGTCCCCCCATCCATGTCCCCCATACATATCCCCAATGCCATGTCTCACAGCCATGTCCCCCATCCATGTCCCCCCATCCATGTCCCCCATACATATCCCCAATGCCATGTCTCACAGCCATGTCCCCCATCCATGTCCCCCCATCCATGTCCCCCCCCCACCCCCCGTCTCCCCCGTTGCTGCCCCGCCCCCGCCCCGCCCCTCCCGGCGAGGCCCCGCCCCCTCTGCCCCGCCCCCGGCCCCGCGCGACCCCCGCTCTTCCGGCGCGGGGCGGGGCGGGCGCGTGCCGCGCCGCCGTCACTTCCGCGGCCGCCCCGCCCCGCCCCGCCCAGCGCGGCCGGCGCGTGCAGCCGGTTGGCGGCCGACCCGCTCGCGCCTCGCGAGGCAGCCGCGCGCGGCGGGCGGGGTGGGGGGGGGCGCCGGTCCCGCGCCGGTCCCGCGCCCGCCCCGCCGGCGATGGGGCTGCGCTGAGGCCGCCGGTGAGTGGGGCCGCGGGGCCGCGGGCACGGCACGGCAGGTGAGGGAGGGTCCGCGGGCCTCCAGCGGCGCCCGCGCCCGGCACGGCCGCCCGCAGCGCCCTCCAGCCGTGCCGGCCGCTCCTCCGCCGCGGCAGCCCCGCGGGGCGGCCCGCACGGCGCGGGCGCTCTGCCGGGCCGGTGCCGCGGAGCGGGTCCGGGGCCGGGCGCGCGGCCGGCAGCGCGGGCGTGCGGCGGCCGCCGGTGTCCGGACACGTGCGGCGCCCGCCCGCGGGCCAGGCCGCCCCCCGCCCTGCCCAGGGCCACCCCGGGCTGGCGGGGCCCCTCGGCAGCTCGGGCGGCTCTCCCTTGCGGCTCCCTCCGTCCTCCGAGCCCGGCCCCAGTTCTGCCCGCGGTCCCGGTTACCGAGCGGCGCGCGTTCCGCCGCCTGGGCACACGTCAGCGTGCTCTGCAGTGGCGGGGTCGGTGGGGAATGCTGGTGATCGTGTACCGAAGAGAAACTTTGGCAGCCCAGGACTGAGTGCGGCTCATCCCTTTTTCAGCACATGAGTCAGTGCGTTCTGCTGCTGCTGACAAAGGCTGTGGAGCACTTTTCCAGCAGCTGAGCTGCTGAGCCGGGGATCTCGCACTGCGAGCGCTCTGACAGCCACTGCGTCATCCCTGAGAGGAGGCCCGCTATGCCTGTTCAGGGATAAACAGCTACTAGGGGAATTAAGCACTGAGACCCATGGCAGAATTGATACCGAAGGTGAAGATAAACTTGGGTATCTACTATTGGCTCTGAAAGCTTGCTGCTACCATCAGTGCTCTGGCTTGCCTGCTGGGATCAGCGTATCCCTGCAGGTGCTGTAGTTGGAAGAGACTTTTGGAGCCTTCAGGAAGCTGAGGTAGCATAGCCTCCAGCAGTGGGAGATGGTTTACTCTAAACTGTTCTAACATGAGTGCTGATAGTTGTCTGGCCACGCTGGCTGACTGCTTCCTCCTCTGAGCTTGCCGAGTTAAAATTCGTTAATGTGTTTTCTTTGCAGTATGCACTCACTGCAATTGTATGGTGTTTTCTTAGTAAGGGCAATCAAGATCATGTTTCATTTAGCCTATTCATTACTCTGACTTTTTTTTTTTTTGTTGTAGGTGACTCAGCTGTTGTATGTATGAGATTTGTCCACACACTGGCTCTTCAGACAGGTTAGCAATATTTTTCAGCCATCAGTTCTGTCATGTTTGAAAGAATTGCTACTTCTACCTTTTCTTAAAATTTTGTGCAATGTTATCACATCCTTTAGAATACTGATTTTCTTGATCTTGTGAGAAACAGCTTTTTTGGCATTATTTAAAATTTACAGTGTAAGTGTGGTCCTCATAAACTTAATGTTCCTGTATCAGTGTCATGAGCGACAGCAGTTTATCTTTATTACACATATACTGAGGAAATGTTTGTCTTGGTGTTTGGCATGACACTGATGGCTATGTACTGCTGCTTTTGTTAGCTGCTTTTTCTTGTTGGCTAATTACAAGTACAGTTTCACAAGGTTTAAAGAAAATATGCTGTGTAAACTTTGAACTCTACAATTGACTTGGAAATTGATTAGTAGTGATCTTACCTTTCTAAGAAGTGTATGATTAACATGACTTAGTGGAACAAAAATGTCATCTATTGTTGGTGTAGTCACGTGTGGGAAAGAACTGTGGCTTCTGGCTGTATTGAATGTTCCAGTGTGAGCACCTAGGCCAGCTGTGAAAAACTGATGTGCTCTAAGGTTATCAGTTTTTAAAGTGCTTCAAAAATGAGTAAGAGAGATCTTTGTGTTAACTTTGGCTTTGGCCAAGGCTGACTGTCAGTGACACAAGGAGGTGTAAGCAGTGAAAGGGTCTGAGCAGAGCTGCTGGACAGCAGCTGCTGCCTTCCCAAATACCTCCCAGGAGCAGTGGGGCTGTTCCAAGCTCTGCTTGGTGTCTTCCTGTAGTGCTGTCTAGACTTTGAGCATGTTTTGCTCTCCCCACTTAAATTTTTTGTTTGTTGTTTTCTAGGATCAGGCATCTGTTCCTGTATTTGTTTTTCATTTCTTCCTAGTCTGTGGAGTACACCTCATGGCATTGGTGGGCACTAATTCATCCCTAACCTGGAGAGAGGGGGGTGAAAGGTCCCAGCTGCCTGGTCAGGAAGCTCACAGTGCCTGCAAGGGAGCGTGGGGGCTGCCTAGCAGGAAGGGAAGTTGCATCATGATGCCTGAGTGATTGAGAAACTTTGTGATTCAGTCCTCTTCTGCTTCTGTGCCATGTGACAGGCATGGCGCATCAGACAAACTATTTTGCTAATAAATGATTTAAAAAGAAGGAAATAAATTTATGTATTGACATGGAACCCTCAGATTATATTTTGTCATTTGCCTTGAGGAGGTACTGTCCTACTGTTTTCTGTGTGGAGTACAAAACAGCTACCAAGATGTTGATTTTCTGTGGGATGAAGACAAATTCTGTTTATTCTGTGGAAGTAAAATACCTTTATATTGGACCCAGGTCCAAGTGGAGTGTCCAGGTCATAGAGGAAATCAGTAGTAGAGCTGGGAACTGACATTGAAAGGTCAGGTTTTCATCAAGCATTTTGACCATTGCATCCTTGTTCCTTTTTCTGGAAACCTTCACACAGTGTTTGCTTTATTTCTGTAAACAAAAGAAATCTGCATCAGGGGATTACTTTGACTTAGCTTGTCCAAGGTCTGTTGCAGAAATTATTACTTCTGTTATGATTAATGTCTCTATTGAGTGCTGTGCTCAAGCATCTTCAATTGCAGACCAGGGAGTATGGTTGTAACACCTTCCTTATTTAATGTGTGTGGTAGACAGGTGATGGATACCAGCATCATAAAGTCACCCCAGGACAGAGCCTGATGGTAGCTGGCATGGAGAGAAGATGTGTCATTCTTTATTGCCTTGTGAAACAAAGTCCTTTAGTTATATCTTCTAAAATTCTTGAGTTTTGGAAATTAGAAAGAAAGTGTTTCCTTAGATTTAATTTACTCAGTGCCCAAACCTTATCAATGTAATGTGAACATAGGTGGTTCTTCCATTTGTGTTCAGGCTCATCTTTTCAATGTGCAAGAATTGCCTTGGAGAACAGAGCTTGTATTTAAGTTCAGTTTTTTTTGGACAGGAATTACTGGCCTCCACAGCATGGCATCTACTATGGTCAAACCTCCTTTGGGTCTGGAGTCATGTTGTTATGCAGATAAGTAGTTTTTGTGGACTTGTAGTTGCAAAAAACCTCCCAACATTCTGACTGGTGCTTGGATATGGTTATGATTAGCATGAGAAAGTGTATACAAGAGAAATCCTAGTTCAAAAATCCTAATTTCACAATAAAACATTGAAAAAAATGTTTTAAATAACAGTAATGCTAAAGTATTGCCCTTTCACTGTTACGCAATGACCTAAAAATAGTTTTCATTCATAAAAAAGCTGCTTCCTTTGTTAAATAATCTGCATAGCAGAGAACAAAGGTTCATTTTGTAGTAAACTGTAGCTGTATTGTAGCTTCAAGTCTGACACCTTTATTCCTGATTGAAATAAGACTGTAAACTTCAATTTTTGGTAGCTGAAAAGTAGGCTTAAATAAAAAAGGATGTGTGATTTACAATTTCTGTTCAGGAGCTATGGATGTGATCTGCACAAAAAGCTGAAGTTCTGTGTTTTGCTGCCCCTTTTCTAAAATGGATAATTTCTGCAGCATCTTCATGGAGTGCTGTGGGGGGTTGGGATTGGGAAGGGGTCTCCCTGGCTGTGGAATCTTGCTGATTCCTCTGAAGTGGTGCAGCGTCAATCAGTTTCATAATCCTATCAAACTTAGTAGAATTAGCCGCATTTGCATTCATTCTGTGTTTTCATTTTTTCATTGTGTGGTTTTCATTTGAACGAATTTAGCCCTTTTTTTATGGTTCTGCTTTATTAGAATTGTGACATGGCATTGTTCATCTTAAAACGGCCCTTTGGATGCGGTAGTAGAACTGGTAGCAAGTCCATTACTTTTTAGTTGGATTGAGATTTTTTATGTGGTATTTAAGACTAAAAGATCATCCTTCAAAGTCAAAATACACAACACTCTTTTTTGACCTTTAGCAAATTTATATGGCAGTGATATTTTCAGTTTAGAGGGTATATGCAGTAACAAAAATGGCAGCTCCTTCAGATTTTATTCTAGCTAGAAGATGTCAAAATGAAAGGTGATAAATGGCAATGGCTGAAGGCTTTTGAGAAACAGTAGTAAGAGCAGCTTAACTGACTTGGGATGCAAGAAGAAAATATATGTAGAATGTGAAATTGAGTCACATTGTGAAGAATGTGAGAAAGACTAGTAGGGGCAGATATCACCAAGGCTGCAGTGCAAATGGAATGGCAAGTAGCAAGAGACGTAAAAGTCAGCTACCTGCAAAAGTAGTGGGAAGATTGGGAAATGAAGTAGGGAAGTAGTAGTAGGAAGATTGGGAAGTGCCTCACTTGATTTGGTGGGGAGTGCATGTGTCTGCAGGATGTGCAGAACATTTGAAGGGCTCAGTGCCTGTTTTGCTTGTCTTTCACATAGTGTCATGCAGGTGCTTAATCTTAGGAATATTTTTGACAAGGTAGTATTTCACACTACAGTGTACTTCCGCTAGATGTTTCTGTGCCAACTGCCCCTGATAAGTTTCACTGTACAATTCTCAAAACAGCTCAAAAGTATTACCTAGAGCTACTCAGAAGTACTAGAAGATGGCAAAGGATGAGTCTTCAGACAGCTACAAAGGAGAAGAGCCAAGGAAGATAAGTGACAGTCTGACAGTTGAGTTTGTCCCAGTTTTTTTCCATCAGTTGAGATAAATAAGCAAACATTCTATTTTCAAGTACTTGGAAGATACAGCAGCATGAACTGATTTGTGGAAAAAATAATGGTGTCTGAAATCTTGATACTTTTTTACTGCAGAGTAGAAGGCTCAGTGGTTATAGCAGAAGCCATGGAGGTTTAGTCTCCTGAATTGGTTGATTTAAAAATGTTTTCCTCATTTTAATGGCCTCATAAGTAAATGGAGACATGATCTGGGGGTAGATGATCCTATCTGGAGAACTGTAATTAACAATTCAGTGTTAAAATGAGAAGTTATGTTGAAGGATTCTGTCCTGGGTCCTGGCCTTTAATGAAAATATTAGTCAGCTGGCTGATTAAATGTGCTTATTAAATTCTCAGGGACTGTTTTGGAGGACATGATGAGAGTTCAAAATAACCTGAAAAAATAGCTCAACATTCAATTGGGACAAATGCAGGTACTGCGCTTGGGCAGGAATTGCAGCTGTTGAAATGCAGGGTGAAGATTAACTGGTTAGCTACTAGAAAAAGGACCTGGGGGTGTACTGGATCACAAGTTGAACATGAGTCAGTGTCATGCTGTTTTGCAGAAAAGGCAAATATCTTACTGGGATGTTTAAACAGCAGTATTGTCTGAGAGATGTAAATTTTAAATCCATTGGCTTTATTTGCTGTTGATGTACAGTCTGTGCAGACAGCATCTGTTTTGGGTGCCAAGATTGAAGAAGAATTTGGACCACTTGGAAGGAGTTCAGAATAGAGAAATGAGAGTAATCAGAGTTCAAGGAAACAACTTCATAGATGTGGAAGAAAATCCAAATTATTTTGGCAAGAGATGAGGAGTTTGGGGGAATGTAAGAGATTTCAAGTATTTGAAAGATTTGTAAGAAGGAGATGCTATTTTCAGTGGCCATGATGAACAGTTTGAAGTGGGATTAACTTTCATCACAGAAAACACCAATTAAGTTTTTAACATTTCTCAGAGTTAACATAGAACTTTAAGAAGTCTTTACTTGTGGTCATGAAGAACAAGTTTGTCTGTTTAGAAAGAATGGAACATGGTTTAGGTTGGAGAATAGACTAAACTCACTATTACTGTCCCTTTCATCTCATTTTATAAGATTCTAGTTTTAGTTGATGTCAAGTTTGAGCCAGTGAGGAGAAACAGACAGGATTATTTTTGTCAATCTCTTGGTTGTGTCATGTAAGTGTAGATCTTGTACAGGTTTGGATGGTTAGAGCTGTGGTGCTTGTATCGGTCTGGAAACATACAGTGTTTTGGATTACTTTCTTCTCCTGTGTGCTGCCTCCTGCAAATGGAGTGAGGTTTCTTGTGCTGTAAGGATGTTCT